CACCTTGTATTTCCCTGACCCCGAAGAACCAGCCTGAGGATTCTCGGGAGCAGGGCGACGACGAGGCATCTCTAAAAAAAGGGGGAAGAAAAGGGTATTTGCTCTTGAAAACCCCTGAGGAAGTTTCCCGAGGGTTTAAATCACGACGTGTCGACCGGATGACACCACCGTTCAATCGGAAAACAAAAAGGCTAGGAGGACCAAAAGAAAGAAGGTTCTGAAACTCACCCGAACGTCAAAAATGAAGTTTTTCTGGAAAAACTTTAAAACAACTCCCTCCAGGAAGTTCAGGAATCGACAATGGGTCTGCTGGCTCTGTGATTTTGAGAGAAAGGGCAGTCAACGATGGCAGAAGAAACAAGAACTCCGGCAAAGATTCAAGAAGAGGTGCTCTGGGGAAAGTTTGAAATGGCAAAACGATGGAAACCAGAGAAGAACCCCCTTTATATAGGGGGAAATTTTCATCATTGGGCGGGAGAACCGAAACGGCGCATTTAATGCGCACGACATCCCAAGCCGGGGAAAGCGGCTCGAGGCCATAATGAAGGACGGATGGCAGTTGGGAAACCCTTCGTCTCCTTACAACACGTGTCCTCGGTGTCAGAAGATCGAAGGCTGGGGGGCAGTTGATGGGACTCTTCTGAAAAGTCCTATGATGAAGACACGTGTCCTCGGTTTCTGGAACAGTGTTGCTCGGATTTAAGCACCATCGGCAACGAATGTCCTCGCCCCCGAGGTACCTCTCATATAGGGTCATGCATTCGGTGTATTATGCGACAACACGTGTCCTCGGTAACCCATGTACCTCGGAAACATACCACCCTCGGTCCCCGAGGTGAGCCTTTCCTCGGTGCCGAGAGTTACTCCGTCCTGGACACTTCCTCTACTCCAGGATAAAGCTACTGACGTACGGTTCATCAGCCTATGCCAGTCTAGACTATTCATCATGACCTCGTCTTACACAAGTAATGTCAGAACATACTGGAATACAGAGGTCATAGCCAATACGTGATGGACGCGTGGCATATGATATCACATCAAAAACAGACAAATCGCATGTTGTTGCTGACACGCGCTTTGGGAAAGCAAACAATTAATTGCACCATTCCCTCGATGAGATCGCATTCAATGCGGTAAGGCTCGGAAGTGAAAGACAATAAATATTCCTCTTACAGAGCATTTATTGCATCCTCCCCGAGAGGGGCATATTGTACCGTCGGCATCCCGACGGCTCAGCATTGATTGCTCGGGGCCCCGAGCAGTTAATTAGAGAAGACATTCCTCATCAAAATCAATGCCCACGCAACCTGCACCTAATGATCACCTGCTGACCACGCTGACAGCAATCATGAGCTTTTAAGGTATAAATACTCATTGCAAAGGCAAAACGGGTATGCAATCAAAAAACTCCCTACTACAATATATCCTTCTCAGTGTTTTCTCCTTCCTCTCTCTCACTCAAAGACTGATTAGACCGTCGGAGGGGATACGCCGGAAAACACTCCGGCGCCCTTCTAACTTGTTTTTCTTTGTTCCAGGAACCCTTTTTAGCCTTACAGGATCGTTCTTCCTTTCCCAGGATCTTCCGTTGCCGTTCCAGGTTATCACCGTACCTTGCAGGCTGTTCCAAGCAGCGTGTTTGGTCACCCAACCGGCTCACTCGCTACTCACCAGGGGAGAGATCTGTTCTCGTTTCATTTATCGTGCAGGATCTTGCCCGCACAATTAGGCATCTACTGATCTTTTCAATCTTATTCAACATATCCCATAAAAAGGAAAACAACTAAAATTATTCAATGACTAATAATACAAAAGTCAAAAATAAACCTTACCACTTCCAACATAAGGTACACAGGTGGTGATGGTATTCAAACCTATAAATTACCTCAGAAAATTATGACTGATGAACTACCCATAAATTACCTGAGAAATTTCTGGACGATCTGTCATTAATCTGATAGATCAAAGCTAAAATTCGACATGTGTAATCTGATAGATCAAAGCTAAAATCAAAAAATTTGTCTTCTGTTAATTTGGACGGTCTCCCATTGTGTATGTATTTCTATGAGTTGGTCATGTTTTTGGCTTACACGATCTACTCAAGGACATAATAGAGAGAAAGATCTAAAAATCAAGGGGGGCCTGGGAGTATTTATATATATAATTTTTTTTAACGGGTATAACGGGGACGGGGTAATGCGGGGCAGGGCGGGGGGTAAAAGTAAGTCCATCCCTGCACGGGTTTATACGGGTATCTCCATATAAATTCACCGTCCAATACGTATAGTCCATCCCCGGTCCAAACAGGACAGGTTTAGACGAATACCCATTTTTTCTTGGTCCACCGTCATCTCTAGGTCCAATCAATGACATTATATACCCTTGATAGTACCCAAGTAGTGTCAGTAAATAGTGACAACAATAGATTGACCCTAAATTATGACAATATATATTTGTTCGTTCAAAGAATTGCACCTAAAGAGAGATTCAAAAAATTGTCATGCAAACAATGTCACCAAAGAGAGATATAAGATACTGACAATGAGGGTCCAATCAATGACATCATGAAATGTCTTCTTGATTGTGCTCAAGTAATGTCAGCAAATAGTGATAACTAAATTATTGTTTGATGTTACTATTTTTTTATTGAACGTGTTACTATATATATGTGTGTGTGTGTGTGTGTGTGTATATATATATATATGAAATTTTAAAATTCAAATGATATACAAATATCAAAAAAAATATTGAAAGTCTCACATTCTAATATTTAAATATTGAAAATATAAAAATTATCAATTAGGTATGCACTATTTATCGTAGGAGTAATTATGAAATACAGTTTAGAAAGAATTTAAAAATATTTTAAAATGTGTACTTATTAACAATTATTTGATGAAAAAGAGAATTTAAAAGAGGATAAGTTTATAGGTGGTAATTAAAATTAAATAAGTTTTAAAAAAAGTACTCACATCTCATTATTTCTACGATGATTCATATGACAGTAAAGATGTAGTATTATAATTACATTAAATATTTGTTGACAAATAGAGTATTTGTAATACTCGAACCTATGACCTCCCGTTATAAGACGAATATATTGGCGTTTTAGTTGATAATATTTCTACATTATGAGATGAGAACTTCAGAAAACAATGTAACTTAAAAAAACCAAATTGTTATCAACGGTAACAATTGTTGTACCTTTTTAATTATCACATTCTAGTTAGTGTGTGTTTATTTGCATGAAAATCCAAACTGTAATAATTTAAATTTGATGGTTCAAATATTATAAGCTACAAATTTTAGAAATTTGAATGTAATTTACTAACAAATATATTAATAGATATTAACAAAAAAAGTTGTGCGTACACGAACTTAGGGAGTTTTGTATAATATTTTAAATATTTGGGTCTATATAATTAAGGGACAAACCTCGAGATTTTGATGTAATTTTACCTTTTTTTAGGATTAATTGTAAATTGTATTCCGAAAGATCGTTTGAATTTTAATTTGTACTCTAAAAAAAAAAATTAATTTGAACCCTCAAAAATAAAATTTATATCAATGCGCACCTGAAACTAACGACGGTCAGTTTGTCGATGGATAAATTATATTTAAATCCCTTCATACTTGTCATTTAATTATTTGGATCCCTCATATTTAAAATATTATTCATACACCTCTTGACTGTTGTTCACGTATAACGTATAACTTATTGTCGTTGATATTTGTTATTATAATCATTAATCCTAAAAAAAAATTATAATTTTATACTACAATTTTTTTTGTGAACCTGTTATACTTTAAAGTTCAAAATCAAACTTATCATTTGAATATCTAATATAATGTAGATATTTATATAATAATGTTTATATCTAATGCAATACATCACGTAAATAAAATTATATTAATGCCCAATTCGAGAAATATTTTTAGTCATATTTAGATTTTCAAGGAATATAAATATATTATTTTAAAGGATTAATTGTAAATTACACCCTAAAAGATTGTTCGAATCTCAATTTGCATCCTCTAATATCAATAATTTTAATTTGCACCCTTAAAGATAGAAATTTGTTTCAATGTGTACCTTAAAAGATTAAAAATCTCAATTTACATCCTAAAAAATAGAAATTTGTATCAATGTGCACCTAAAACTAACCGCTGTTAGTTTGCTGCCTAAAATTAAATTGATAAATTATACCCAGATCCACTCATGTTTGTCACTTAATCATTTGAACCCCTTCACGTCTAGAAAATTACTCATACATCTTATGACATTTGTGCACGAGTAATACGTAACCCTTTTTCGTTGATATCTGTTAATATACCTGTTAAAAAATATGATTTTATCCTAATAAAAAATATAATTTCATATTACCTTTTATTTTGTGGGTGCAATATACTCTAAAGTTCAAAATCAAACTTACCATTTGAATGTTCAATAGAATGTAGGTATTTATATAATATTTTTTTATATGTAATGCAATATATCACTTAAACATAATTATTTGAATGACCAATTGGGAGGACATTTTTATATGATTTTATCCCAATAAAAAATTATAATTTTATATTACCCTTTATTTTGTGAAAGAGGTCCAAATGATTAAGTGAAAAGCATGAGAGGATTTAGATATAATTTATCAATTTAGTTTTCAGCAACAAATTGACGACAGTTAAATTTAGGTGCACATTGATATAAATTTCTATCTTTGGGGTGCACATTAATATAAATTTTTATATTTAAGGGTGTAAATTGAGATTCGAACGATCTTTTGAGGTATAATTTATAATTTATTTTATTTTAAATGTGAGGGGCCTAAATGATTAAATAACAAATATGAAAAAGTGTAGGTATAATTTATCTGCTTAATCTTAGACGGAAACGTTTGAAGTATCATTAATATAAATTTTTATTTTTAAAATTTTAATCTTTAAAGATATAAATTGCGATTCCAACGAGCATGATTAATTCGTAAAGCACTACCATGTCATGTCACTCGTCCGTTCTGAACAAATGGTTCCCCTAGGGTTTCTCTTCCCAATTCCTTAGCCAGAGATACCTCTCTCTCTCTTTCTCTCTCTCTCTGAATATCAGTTTTCTGCAAAACACAACCTTTGGATGTTTAATTTTTGTGCCATTCTTTAAACCCCATCCCTAATTGCTCGAATGCTCTGCTCTCAGTTATGGTAATGTGACCAAACTGAGAAAACCACCAAATTCAAGGGAAATTTGTGTACTTTTGCGAAGTTTATAAAAACGGGTAAGTGAATTTCGGATTTTCTGGCAGTGTGTAATATTTGTTTTACATTTCTGATTTTTATTCTCCTATTCTTGTGCATTTGTATTTCATATGTTAGCTTTGTTAGTGAATGAAGTGATTAGACTCTTTATCTTGTGTGAAACTATGAATTATAGCTAGGTATAGTCTGGCTGTTGTACAGTAGTGAGAGGATCAATTGCTTTGTGTGTGCACTATTTGTGTAAGGTTTTGCAGTACTACATGCAGTTATGGCTGTTGTGCTCTGTCTGATCAGTTTGTGTCAAGAAAAAATGTAAACTACATTACTACTATCCCAGCCAAAGTTCATGATGATATTTGGTGAATCAGAGGCTAGCAGTGCAAAATAAAACAGCTTACTTTCTTTTCTGCAATACTGGAAAGCAGTGGAATATATTATGTATTTATGCTTATGTCTAAGAAAGATGGTTTTGCTTACCAGTTTCTACATTAAGCTTAAGGATGAAGTCAGTCCTTGTGTTATTAATCATCTGACAGTACTTGTATTGGAGGTCATCATACTTTGTTATGCATATTAATGACTGCCTTGGGATGAATTTTTTGATATCGTGGCCCTATAATTAGGCTAAGTTGTAAGTGGTAGCTCTGTATCTAAACTGAAGTTGCACTTTTGGGATGCATGTGTTGCGCGAACTTTTTCATTGTTCATATTTTGCTTTGACTAAAATTCAAAACCAAAGCATTGCCCACATCCTTTTCTTTATATTCACATACAAAGGCATCAATATATCATACATGAGTTGATAATTCAAGATGTACAAAAAAAAGATGATAATTCAGAAGATGCTCTAGCCTGCAGTTTGTAAAATGTATTCCTAATCAGGCATGGACAAGCTGGAATTGATTCAATGCTATTGAAATTGATTTTGGGGCTATGAAATCGGTATTTTGTTTTAATAGTTTACTTTACAATAGGATATCTTAGAGAAGAATTCAAATGAATGTCTTGTAGCAGAAATATTAGTAACCTCTTATGGCCTACATTACAGTTACTATCTCTGAAGAGGAGTCAGGGTCTCCTGGATATTTTTCTTAGTTAAGAACTCCTGTGTGTCATAGTATCCATCAAGTCGTCCACATAGCTGGTAGGCATTCCTATTCCATTCTTCATTCTTTGGCTGTTTTTTAAACCTCTTTATCTGATCTATCTAATCTGTACATCAAGAGTATTGCTGTTTTCTTGTACAGATGCTACTCTTTCCTTGGTTTTTGTTTTGATCTTGTAAAGCTGATGGTTTTGTCCAAAATTATTTGTTTGGCTGGCCATGCTGGATCTTCTAGTTTTCGGCTCCCTTAGTACTGTGTTTGCCAACTCTCAGTGGGGATGTCTTTGCTAAATCCGTAGTCTTCTTTTAAGACAGTATTACCTGTGATGCCTTCTTTTAGATTACTGTATCATGCAGGAGTATCATGGCTAAATTACTCTGCATCATTTCTGGATCATATATTATGCACTTTTATTAGCTAGCTTTTCAATATTTATGTATGCCATGAACCTATTGTATGCTTTTGATTTTTTTTCCCAATTCACATAACTGCTTATACATGATTGTCAGTCTGCTAGTTAGATGGCATTCCGAAGAAATGGAGATATATTAGAGATGGAACCTGATCCCGCTACTTGGACTACCTTGGAGGAGAAAATCTTTATTCAGTTAATGGTAAAAGAGGGTCAAAAAGGAAATAGATCCTCAACCACCTTTTCAAGGAAAGGTTGGAAACATATTGAACAAGAGTTCTGTCAGAAAACTAAAAAGAGGTACAACAACTGTCAATTTAGAAATAAGTTTAACCAGTTGAGGACCCGTTATCATGATTTTAGCAAGCTGTTGAAAGAACCCGGGTTTACTTGGGACCCTGTGCTCAACAATGCAACTGCAACTGATGCTGTATGGGAATCATATATAAAGGTGAACACTTAATATCTAAACAGTGAATTCAGTAGTATTTGTCTTTCAGAAACTCCAAAATGTTGATGTTGAAGTTGTGCATTTCTTGATGTAGGCAAATAAGAATGCGAAGAGATTCCGGAAAAAGGGGTGTCCCATGTTTAGTGAATTGGGATTCATATTTGGTTACCCAATGGCAAAATGCAAAGATGTGTTCCCTTTAGCTCAGTATCCTTTATTTAGTGAAGACAAATTGGAGTCAGAAGATGAATCAACAAATGCTACTCCAACTGCTTTCCAAAGTGACAGTAGTGGTGATAAAGATTGTCCAGTGCAAAGTACTGGATGCCAATGGCAACGATCTCCAACTCCAACAAGCAATCTTCGAGGGAAGAGGGAGGCAAGGACCGTAGTGATGGGAGAGGCTTTGAATGAATGGACTGAAGCCACAGTCCCCTCAGGGACATCCAAGAAAAGATCTGCTGAAGATACAAATGTGAAGACACCAACCTTGCACAAACCCAAGGCATCCCCCCATTCTAGTGCATTCTCAATTACCAATTGTGTTAAATGTTTAGAGTCAATTGAAGGTGTGGATGCAAGTACCTATCTAAAGGCACTTAAGATGTTTAAGGACGTAGATTGGAGGGAGATGTTTATGGCAATGTCGGCGGAAAGAAGAATAGTTTGGCTGGGTAGCTTAGAATGATTGCTTGAGATCTTTATGTTTGTACAATATATGTTACCAATAGGTACTTCTATAGTTGATGCATCACTAGCCTTCTCGGCTTGGTAAATTTATTGTAGATTGGATGGAAACATGTTTTGAGACGTTCGATCTTTCATAGGTGGTCATTGAAATCTGTGATCGCATTGGGAAGGGATTAACACTTTATTTATCTAATACCCGGGAGATCATAATTCATGCAGGAGAGAGAGAGAGAGAGAGAGAGAGAGAGAATAGATTATATGTCTACCGTAACATTTATCTAAGAAAGAGTTTCTAGTTTTTCAACAAAAAAGAGGTGAAATTAGACACACAAAGACCTCATAGCCGGCTTGCATCCTAGAAATTCTTTTGTTTTTTTTTGTTTTTGGATTGATCAGTTGTTTTTTGTTTTTATTTTTTAAAAATTAAAAAAAAAAAAAAGAAGTTAAATTTAGAGAACAAATTAAAGTTATTTTATGATTTTTTAAAAATCACTTTTCCAAAATTTAGCAAAAATCATCACTATCACCGCATTTTTGTTTTTATTATTTTTAGAATCATAATACCAAAGAAGTTTTGATACAAAAAACATTAAAACATACCTTTTTAAAAATCTTCGCAAAAATAATTTTCAAATACTATTTTTTTAAGATGCAAACCAAAAAACATCGTCTTGCATTCCAATTTTTAATGGCAGCTTGAGTTTGTTGCGGGGACTATGCCTTCTTAATGAACAATTGAACATACATGAAAGAACTTGAAAACAAAAGCAATTTAGTTATTGCTATTGACCAAACGAGGCAATACCTAATGCTTGAAGCGTCCATATGTAGCGAGTTTAGAAGTCAAAATATACATCCATCCAAGCAATACATCACAAGTTGGGAGTCCAAGAATCAACCACACCGAGATATCACATCGCCATCATAATCTTCCCCAGTCCCACACTGATTTCAGACAGTAATCTGTCCGTATAAACACGCAATTTAACATCCTAGACAATAGATGGTTCCGGGGTGTTGGCAATGACTTAGTTCAGACCAAGACCCTTACAAATTGATGGGCATTGAAACGAGTACTGTGCAATAGTCCAAGGCTACAGGACTTTGCAAGATCTCCATTTACGCTTATTCCTCCCAACGGTGGCCTTTAACAACAATGCAAGCCATCAAATTAGTTAGTGCATACCTGTAACAAGGCAAAAAGTAAATATGCTTCCACAAAATGCACCAATAAAGATATTACATCAGTTAGATCCTGTTATCGATCATTTTACGATGATCGAATAAACAAGTCATTTAGTAAGGCGAAAAAATGATATCCGGAGGGCTGGTCATGGTTCCCGATCTTGTCCCTGCTTGCTAAATCTGTCCTACACTAGTTGGTTGCCTAATGGCACAATCCCTAAATGCATGTCAATTTCTTTGAGCTGAACATTTGAGATGCTGCAAATTTCACTCTCAAAATTGGGAAACAAAATGGTTGGTTGGACAAATGCTTCATGTTTAAGTTTCTGAATTCTCTGTAATGCACCTTTGGGTATGTATCCCCATTCCACATTAGCTCAGGGGATTATCAGTCAAAGCAGCAGCATGCTGGTATAACAACATATGTTGTAGATGTGAATTAACTTGCAGGGTAAAGGAATGAATGACATACAAAGATCGGGTTTTGGACTCTCATGTAAAACGACATAAACAGCAGGGAACTTGTATTAAACCCAAACATCCTACCTTTATATACTGAATGGCCTAGTTTAAGTAAGTAACAAAGCAAAGATTCTTACTATTGAGCCTCTGGAAACTATCTCAAGCTTTCGGCCTCATTGAAATCCCACGATATCTCTTCGTGTTGACATGTGTTAAATCAATATTAGGTACTGGCTCGATATCGAAATCAGGCTTTTCAAAATTGCAAAGAAGAGGACTACCATAAGAAAAGTTAAAAGATTGTAATCACAAAGTTGGTGAAACAATTTCATCCGACAAGAAAGATATACCTGCCATTGTTGCAACAGATGCCACAACAAAAAATCAATGATCATAACCAAGCAAAAAAGTTTGCCCGCCCAAGCTCCACATGTCATGTATCTAGAACAGATTATTCGTCAGTAAACTTGAGTATCGCTTTGATATTTGACTATGATAACACTGAAATTCTAGAGATGACTTGATGAGTATCAGATTAGAATAGAATAAATGATAAATATTTATATTGGGATTTTTATTTATTTAGATATAATTTTTTTGTTATCTTTTAGTAGTAGGGTTTGATAAGGAATCTTTGATCTTAAGACTTTTTGAGTTCCCTATATAAGGGGGTTCATGTTATTATTTTTAGGTAAACTAGAATTATTGAATAACTAGTCATTACCCGTACCTAAAGGCACTCTTAACAAAAAAAATTTGTCAAGCAAATGAGACATTCAAAAATCTCTTAAATAAAAGAAGTGCAAGGATTGAAATGATTATATACCATTAACACAATCCGAAAATCTCTATGAACTTAAATTAACACCATTACAAAATTATCTTACCATATATTTATTTATGGCGGCTCTTCTTTCCAATGAATGTTCATTTTTTCAACCTCTTACTAAATCTAATGAATAGGTTGTCTAGTTCACATTGAATTACAAATTAAATATTCAAAAAAGAGAAAACAAAACCCAACTGAACTAACAATGTCCAGCAAATCTGCTTGTAGTTGCAAAGACAATTGATTTAAATTATCTGCAGTTATGACTTATCGAATGCTACAAAAATATTCTCACTCTGCAATTAAACCAAATCAACAAAAGCAAAATTTCACCACTTAAAAAAAATTGATTTAACTGACTTTTATATCGTTTCTGTTTTTATTTTGCACTATTCAAATATTTAAAAAATATGAACATTATCAAGAGGAAAGCAATGCAAATAAGGAAAAAAAAATTGATAGTTGATTTAGACTTCTTTTTTTTTTGTGCAATTAGTTTCACTTATTTGTTTTTATTGGTCATTGATATTTTTTTCATTAGTAATTAGCTTAACTTTGAATTTTTTTATCGGTGATTAACTTGACTTTGAATGTCTACAACCTAAGAATTTTTTTTTAATAGTTAAATATTTTCTCATCCATAAAATCATACAAATATTTTGAGTAAATAAGTCCACTTAGGATCACCAAAACAAATAATGTTAAGAGAGAGTATGAGGTAGCACTGTTTGTCTTGACGATCCTAATTAAACTTTTATTCTATCTCATCTATATATAGAAAGAGAGAAAAAGTATGAGAGATGAGAGAGGGTGTTATAAAATGTCAGTGAGAGAGACAAAGAGAGAAAGAGTTATACACATATGAAGAAAAAGAAATATAGCATGTTAAGCGCGAGAGAATATGAGATAGCATTGTTTGTCTTGACGATCCTAATTAGATTTTCATTCTATCTCATTTATATATATATATAGAGAGAGAGAGAGTATGACAGATGAGAGAATGTGTGTTTAAAATGTCTGTGAAAGAGGGAGGGAGAGAGTGAGTTATATATGTATGAGAATTGGGTGTATGAGATAGAGAGAGAAAGAGAGTTATATTAGATATGGAAGTCTTAAAGTTTTAAAAGCAATGAAAGTCCAATTAGAATTGTCAGATTAATAATCCTCAATCGATCTGAGCCGCGAAAAATTCAAGACAAATAAATCTAGCTACTTTATTATATAGATATCGAGAATTGTTTCTCCTTAACTGTTCCTCAACCCCTTCTGCCAAGTAAAAAAAAAGCACCAATTACCTCGGGTGATGAATCAATAAACTTAGAAAACAAGACTCACCCCCAACAACTGACACCAGTAGTTTGGTTGCAGCTTCAATTTTAGAAGAATCTGAACTGTTAAAGCATCTCAAGAGCAATTTAAGATGGATCACATGTCCACACACCCAGATTTTCACGTTTCAGAGAATAAATGTCAGGTGACTATTAAGATGGTTTACAAGGATCTCACAATAAAGGATAGATACATTTTAGTGGACTTGTTTCTGTTACCATAAATCTCCACAAGCAGTCCAGTTACCATTCTTAAATCAAACATATGAACTTCAGTGGCTTACCGGGATAGTCGTTCTAAAAGATTCTGA